AAGGAGATGCACATATGGGGATCCCCACGCAGTGAATAATTATACGCTGTCCTGGGGCCCTCTTGGGCCCGTCTTGGGGCGCCTCTGGGCCCCTCCGAGGGCCCTGGGAAGGGTCCAAGAGGGCCCCTAGAGGGCTCCCAGAGGCCCCCAGAGGGGGCTCCAAGAGGACCCGAAGAGGGCCCAGGAGTACGTTATAAAACAAGCTGTTTTTTATAAGCTGTCCTGGGGCTCACTTGGGCCCGTGTTGGGGCGCCTGTGGGCCCCTCCGAGGGCCCTGGGAAGGGTCCAATAGGGCCCCTAGAGGGCTCCCAGAGGCCCCCAGGGGGGCTCCAAGAGGCCCCGAAGAGGGCCCAGGAGTACGTTATAAAACAAGGTGTTTTTATAAGCTGGCCTGGTGCCCTGTTGGGCCCGTCTTGGGGCGCCTTTGAGCCCCCCCCGAACCTTCTGGGAAGGGTCCAAGAGGGCCCCTAGAGGGCTCCCAGAGGCCCCCAAGGGGGCTCCGAGAGGCCCCCAAGAGGGCCCAGGAGTACGTTATAAAACAATCTGTTTTTATAAGCTGCCCTGGTGCCCTCTTGGGCCTGTCTTGGGGCGCCTTTGGGCCCCTCCGAACGCCCTGGGCAGGCTCCGAACGTCTTGGGCCTGTCTTGGGGCCGCCTTTGGGCCCGTCGGAAGGCTCTGGGAGCCCCCCGCCCTCCGTCGAGGCCCCCCGCGGCACGCGCGGCCCCGGGTGCAGCTGGGACCGGAGCGCTGCTCCCTGCAAGGGTCCAGGAGGGCCTCTCTCGGGCCCTTCGCGGAAGCCCTCTTGGCGCATGGGGCAGCCTGGGGCAGTCTGGGTCAGTCTGGGTCAGTTGGGTCAGTTGGGTCAGTTGCTGGCCCAGTTGCTCCGCCCACCCGTTTCAGTTGCTCCGCCCGCCCCCCGGCCCCCTTGGCACCAGTCTGGGGCAGTCTGGGGCAGTCTGGGGCCTGTCTGGGGCAGTCTGGGGCAGTCTGGGGCAGTCTGAGGCAGTCTGGGGCAGTCTGGGGCAGTCTGGGCCAGTTGGGGCACTCTGGGGCAGCCTGGGGCAGCGTGGGGCAGTGTGGGGCAGTCTGGGGCAGTCTGGGTCAGTTGGGTCAGTTGGGTCAGTTGGGTCAGTTGGGTCAGTTGCTGGCCCAGTTGCTCCGCCCACCCGTCTCAGTTGCTCCGCCCGCCCCCCGGCCCCCCTTGGGGCAGTCTGGGGCAGTCTGGGGCAGTCTGGGGCCTGTCTGGGGCCAGTCTGGGGCAGTCTGGGGCAGGGCAGTCTGGGGCAGTCTGGGCCAGTTGGGGCCCTCTGGGGCAGCCTGGGGCAGTCTGGGGCAGTGTGGGGCAGTCTGGGGCAGTCTGGGGCAGTCTGGGTCAGTTGGGTCAGTTGGGTCAGTTGCTGGCCCAGTTGCTCCGCCCACCCGTCTCAGTTGCTCCGCCCGCCCCCGGCCCCCTTGGCAGTCTGGAGCAGTCTGGGACAGTCTGGGGCAATCTGGGACAGCCTGGGGCAGTCTGGGGCAGTCTGGGGCCTGTCTGGGGCACTCTGGGGCAGTCTGGGCCAGTCTGGGGCAGTCTGGGGCAGTCTGGGACAGTGGGGCGGTCTGGGGCAGCGTGGGGCAGTCTGGGTCAGTCGGGTCAGTTGCTGGCCCAGTTGCTCCGCCCACCCGTCTCAGTTGCTCCGCCCGCCCCCCGGCCCCCTAGGCGCCACTGGGGGCGGTCTCAGTTGCAACTGGGGTGGTTTCAGTTGCTCTGCCAATTGCTTCCGAGGAGGAGGAGGAGGAGGAGGAGGAGGAGGAGGAGGAGGAGGAGGGTCCCGGCGTATCATCTTTATGCCAGGGCTTGGAGAAGCGCCGCAGGACCCATCCCAGCCGTGAGGCAGAGTTTTTGGGGCGCATCCGCTGGCAGATGCCAAGCTTCGCCGCCCCGGTCGACGATCGCGGGGGGGAAGAGCCAGTATTATGCCTTCCTCCGTCTCTTGGTCGGCGCCTCCTCAAGTCGGGAGCGGAAAAGAGGGGGGTGATGACTAGGGGGGGGTGGATTTCATGGCGCGGGCCATGATTTTTCCTCAGATTTCATGGCGCCTCTTCTTATTTCATTACGTCCCTGGCCCCCCCGCTGGGCCGCGCACGTGCCGCCGGTCATGATTTGCACCCCCCCCTCTTGGACACCCTACTCTTTGCCGCTCCCGATCAAGGAGGTTTTTTTCGGCCAGGTGGAGTGGGTCATCGGTGGTAAATCGGGTTTGCCTGATCATGGTTGTCTTGACGTGGTCATGGAAGCCCTGGCCATCCACAGAAACCACGCCTCAGGAGAGAGTGGCTCTCCGCGCTTGGGCTGCAAGGGACACATGGACTCGATTGTATGCGATTTTTTCAGGCCGGCATTTCCCCAAGACTTGCGAGCTGTGTGGAGAGGCCAGAGACACATTCGATCATTGATGTGTGTAAGTGTTTGGGAACCTGAGCACAAGGAGCTTGTGGGAGGTGAGGAGCGTTTGGTTTCGAGGGAGGCGAGGGGCGCTTGGTGCTCCTCAGTAGAGGCTGCATGGCTCACCCAGGGGGGCAAGCATCCATCCCCCCTCTCAAGGATTGCTTTTGGGATGCGCAGTGGGCCCAGGGGCCCCTGCCAGAAGTTGTTGTATGCAGGGTCAGACGTTGATGGATAGCTGCCACGTCGTCGAGAAACTTGAACGCGCCTCGTGGCGTGCTGCCCTTTTTCCCAGAAGAAGAGAGCATCGGTGCACCGTAGACTGTACAGTCTGGGCGCCCTTATCTCAGACCCCGGAGGCGGGAGAGTTCTCGGTGCACTGGGGCGCCACCTTGTGTTTGCCTGAGCATAGCGCTCTTTCGACCGACTGCGCGAACGGAAAGGCCCAGCGCGAGCCGGCGAAAGACGGCCAGCGTTCTTGTCGCAGGAAATATGTTGGCGCTTCCCTGCTGAATTTGAGTCGCCTAGACCAGCGTATCAAATAAGCTGTGCCCATGAAAACACATTCCTCGCACAACGGGGCGGGGCTTATTCCAGAAAGGGAATCTAGGAGGTTCGGGAACCACATCGCGGAGCTCGGCGCCAAGGGTGCCCTCTCCATCCATCCGAGAGACGAGAAAAAATTGAAGATGTTGATGTCTGTATGAAGTTTGCGCGTGTTGCCTGCAGGCTCGCTGCTAAGCTGCCGCCCAGGCTTTCGACTCTCAGTGCCACCAAAGATGTCCGATATTCACCCTCCGCCTGTGGTCCCCTCGGAGCTTTCCGGGGATCATGTTTAGTTTCATGTTGAGAGCTTCTGGCGCTGTCAAAGATGTGCTCAGGTCCGTCGCCCGCGGGATGGCCTCAAGACTCAAGCCCCTTCCCGGCAGATGCGTCGGATTATGGCATGCGCCCAGGAGACTTTGGCGGTTTCCGGCCACAAGTGACTGCCGTGTCCGTGTCGTGGCAGCGCTGAGCTGATAGTCTGCAGTGTCTGTAAGAGCTGCACCTCCCGTGGGGCGAGTTGGGGCCTCCGCAAGACCTGTCAGACCCCCAGCTGGAAGTTTCGGCGCTTGGGGTCTGTTCCAGGCTGTCAAGAACCCCATCCACCCCGAGCGCGAAGGTGGCACAGCTCTAGTCCAGGCGGGGGCCCGCTCGAAGTCTTACCGCGTGTGCTGGCTGTGTCTTGCTGCAGGCTGTGTCCCGCCACGACCAGTCTCGTTGTAAGACCCCACCTCATTGGGGGGATAGTCGACGGTGGTCGAAGCCCACAGGAGTAGAGGTGCCGTGGCAAAGGCTGCAGGCCAAGGCTGGGCCGTTCCGCGATCCCCGTCCAGCCCCCCCGCCTTCACCGCTAGACCTGCAGGAGACCCCTGAAGATCCCCACGTCCCTTTCACCACCACAGCCCCTAGCCATCCGACGTCGTGCATCCCCAACCCGTCTTTGCCTGAAGTCTCTTAACATTCTTCGGAAAGAAGCAAGTGTGCGCCGGGCCCTTCCCGGCGGCATTGCCCAGGCTTACTCGGCGTTTTGCCCGCCCCCCCCCCCCCCCCCAGCGTTGCCCAGGGTTCCTCAGCGTTGCTTGACAACACCAAGCAACGCCAAGCACGGCAAACACATGCCAAGCAAGCAACGCCAAGCACGGTCAAGCAACGCCAAGCAACGCAAGGCAATGCTAAGCAGCCCAATGTCATAACAGGCAGCGCTTTGCATTGCATTGCTTTGCGCTGCTCAGAACTGGTTTCGGGGAAAAAAGCATAAACATAATGTATGAGCGCTCCGCGCGGATTTCTTGCATCGGCGCCTCCGGCGCTGCCCAGCTGGCGCACCCCGCGCGCCAAGGAGGGGGGTCCAGCGCAGATCCAAGAGATCCGCGCGGACCGTCGAAAGCTTTTGCTTACGTGCGACAGTTTCTCTTCCACTATGGCTTGAACTCTTCCCTGAGGAAGAAAATCTTAGCCGGCGTCTCGCCACGCTTACCTTTTCGCAGCGTGGCTGCCAGTAGGTGTGGGCCCCTTCACGGGAACCGGTAGTTCGTCCCCAGCCGTCCTCAAACCGCCTTTGGGGCCCGACAGGGGCCCGCCATTGAGGCCGAGCACAGGCCAAAGCTTTCCGTCGTGGTTTCTTCGCGACGCGAGGATCTCAATGTTCTTCCCCTCTCTCCTCCCCCCTACCCTTTCCACCCTGGCCACTCATCAGAGCGAGGCGGAGGAAGAAGGAACCTACAAAACCAACTGCATGGTGGTTGGCACGTGAGACCGCGCACGTATCACGTCTTTGAGGCCGCGGCATCCACGCCGTGCCCTGACCTTGAGAGCCGACGTTGCAGTACATGCGCAGCAGTAGTACGACCTTGGACCACATGTTTTTGCAGCATGTTTATAACTGGGTCGATTTGTGATTTTCCAGTCTACACGAAGAAACACAACGCCCAGAGTTCAAGGAAGAGAGGCGGGCGGGCTCCCTAGCGGAGCGCGCACGCCTCTTGCGTTCGCTTCGCCTCGCTTCGCTCCCCTCGTCCTCCGCGCCCCGCAGGCTCGGCGGCCCGCCGGGCCGGAGCCAGAGCAGGACGGCGCCGACGACGCAAGCGACGCCGCGGACAGCGATGCCGCCAGGGAGGCCGGCGAGGGCGCGGACCCGAGGCGGCAGCTGTTCCGCCAGACGAGTGCGGCAGGTTCTCTTCCAGATCGCCATGCCAAGAATCGAGACCCCCAATGTGTTGAAACACTCAGGACGGTTTTTTGTCAGTGTTCTTCGCCCTCCCGGGCCACGGGATCGTGAAACAATTGCTCGGGAAGAAAAGCTGGTCCTTGGGAGAGGGTCAGGATGTGGGGGGATTTTGTTTTGAACCGATCAAGACATGTCTCTGGGAAGGGGTCCTGAGGGAAACGGGTCTGGGGTTGTTTCTCCGTTTTGGGGGCAATGGGCCTGGAGAGTTGGTCTTGGTAGCCTTGGGTCCAGGAACCGTTTACCCTGGGGACCCGCTGTCTTCATGATGGCCGGCGGCAGAGGCTCTGGTCGCCAAGAGGCAACAGGTGCGCCAGAGGCTCTCGTCGCCGCGCTCGGCGCCCGTGGCCGTGGGGCCGCCCCCCTTGACATCTTCCCTCCGCGGATAGAGGCACGACGGAAGATGTTCTGTATGGTTCGGCCTCTGGGGGGCCCTTGCCCTGCCCCCAGGACCGTCGCAAAACGGCTCGGATGAGGACCTGGTCGCTGGGCAGAGCCACGTCGTTACAAAGCGCGACGTCGGACGTCTAGGTCTCTGGGCCCTGGGACTGTCAAGAGATGACCACGGCGACCTAGGCAGTCCTCGGTGATGGGCCCAGGGTTCCAGGGGTCGGCGACTTGAAAAGATCATCCCGCCGGAAGGTATTCAGGAGGGAAAGAAACACACAGACACAATTAATCGGCGATTCCCCAGAAAATATGGGAAAATATGCGAAGTGTGGGGGAAGACAAAAACCCAGAAAATATGAGAAAAAAATCGGGAATCCTTTTATTTGTGTGTATATATGTGTGTGTGTGTGTGTGTGTGTGTGTGTGTGTGTGTGTGTGTGTGTGTGTGTGTGTGTGTGTGTGTGTGTGTGTGTGTGTGTGTGTGTGTGTGTGTGTGTGTGTCCCAGGGCCCCTTTAGGTATGGCAAAGGTCGTGGAGCCAGCTGCGGGCCTTACTGGAGGACCCTCGCATAAGCCCCGGAGGCCCTCCGAGAGCTTCGAGGGACTCCGGCAGACCCCGCAGAACTTCGCGAGACCTTGCGAGGCCCTCGCGGCGCCCTCGCGGGGGGGCCGCGGGGTGGTGTCGCCCGTTGGCACCGTGACCACTGCCCGCAGGCTCCCGCCCGGCCTCCGACGCCGACGAGTGGTCGGATGGCAGCGCCGGCCAGGACACCCAGGCCGCGGCTCGCGGCGGCCTTCCTCGGGAGCCGGCTGCTCGGAGGCGGCGATAGGGGCGAGTAGCCCAGGTGCGGGCGTGACACGTATTCGCTTGGGAGCCTCGCTGAAGGCATGGACCATCGGCGCCCCTGAGGATACATGTATTGGTCTACCCTTGGGCTATTCGCTCCCGTTGTCGCCCCCGAGCTACGCGCAGGAGTGGCCCTTCACCAGAGTGACCTTCGGTGCGGGCCCACGGCCGGGGAGGCCTTCCTCAGCACTGCATGGCTGGCGCGCTTGGATTTGCCCCCATCCCATCAGGGCCCCGAATCATCAGCGCTGGGGGCGATCAGGGGCAACTGCAGATTCACGCCCCTGGGGCCCAGACCTGAGTAACCCAGGACCGCAGTCATTCCAAATAATTCGGGCGTCCAACCCTCCCGGATCATCCGGGTTGGGAGTCAGTCAGGTGGAACTACATGTTCGCGCCTCGGGGGCCCAAACCGGAGTGCCCCCAGACCGCAGTTGCCCCAGATAATTCGGGCCTCCAACCTTCATCAGAGTGACCTTCGGTGCGGGGGCCTCACCCAGCACTGCATGGCTGGCGCGCTCGGATGTGCCCCTCATCC